GCCATTACACAGAGCTAAAAGAGCAAAACCAGGCAGTTCAGCTAAGCCTATCTGCTGGTACATCTGCTTCCTCCAGTGCCCCCTCCTCCACCCCTGCCCTGAGGGCAGTTAAAACAGTCTCCAGACGCGCAGATGTGGCACCCCCTGTGCCAATCGAAAATTTCGCCTATCTGAGTAGGGCAAAGTTAGATTTTGGTTCATAAANGGATGACCTTAACATCTGGTTTGGATGAAGTCAGCAAAAAGGAAATTTGAATGAATCTCATGTTTTAATCTCAAACATGTATTTGGATGGGAAAAGCCTTTTTTTTTTTTTTTTGTTACGAGTGTTTCTCTGGAATGCATATGATGTATAGAAAGGGAATTTATTGTAGTTGTTTTTTATTTTTCCCTCTCCTTTTATGTAATGATTTTAGCCTGCCAGTTTGCTTGTAAGTTTCTATTCTTTTAATTTTCTGTTATGTCAATCTTTGCTTTTTTTATTTATTTTTATCTAATGAAGATTCATTTTCTCTTCTGTCCATTGAATAGTATTTAAATAAGAACAATCATTTTTATATGCTAAGAACACTATTAATTTTTAATGTATTAGATTATATTTTAAGTCATTTTATGCCAATTTTTAACTTAAATTATTGATTGGAAATAAAAAGTCATATTATTTCCAATTTCATATTGATATTAAATAGCCTAATTAACTGATTTCAAAGTGATTCATTTTATGATATAAAAGTAGTAAACTTAATTCATGAAATTATAAGAAAACCTTTATACTAAAAAGATATTAGTTCAAATAAATTTTATTAATACATATATTAAATAATCCCAAATTTTTAATAATTAATAATAATTCTTTTAAATATCTAAATGCTAGAGTTTTTGGGCTATAATTTGTTTAAACTTTTTAATTGAAAGTTGAATTATAGTCCAAAAATTGAACATTGAGATATTTAATTAAACTTTATTAATTCCAATATATTTATTTAAAATTTAACTTTGAATGAAATTTTTATTAAAAACAATCGTTATAATGATTTTTGACTGCAGAAATAATCTTTTAGAATAAGTAATGAATATTTGTTACGTTACACTGGCTTGAATTGCATGCGTGATCATTGCAAGCAACATGATACAAATAAGAGAAAATTATTATTAAAATAAGCATTTTAGTCCACTAAGATAATACTTTTGAGGTTTTTCAAGGTAAAATCAAAGTTTTATGAATAATTTTTTATTATCTAAATGTGTGTGAAAATATAGTTATACTTTTGTTAAAGATATATAATTTTTATTCATTTTATACCTTTTATTGGTAAGAGAAATATGCATTGGTGTCATGCCAATAACAAGTAAAAAAATATTTCTTATTGATGGCTTTTGAGTGGATATAAAAATCAAGCTGTACCTGTTATATACAGGTACAGCTTGATTTGTTTCTACTCCTAACTTTTGTAGTACAGTATAAAATAAAAAATATGTACAGTACAGTTTACTGTGTTTGTTGATTCTAATGTGCATTGTTTTTTGATGTCTGGTTTCCCAAATTTGGATATGCATTAGAATTGGACACAAAGTTAACTTAATGCAGTCTCGTTCGTGTTGTTTGCTCTTCATTCAAATTGGCAGTTTGCATTTATTATGTCATCAATATGTGGTGATGTTCTTCCACTACTTTGGTTTTAGTTTTTGTTTTTGTATGGTTTATTGGTTTTTTGAACTACAGCAAGCCAAGTGAACAATGTCCAGCAGATGGGTCTTCTAAGTTTAAGATTATTTGCTATGCTTAAGAACATGTATACAGTTATCTCAATGTGATACTAGATATCTGGAAAATTTCATACTTGTACACACTGGCATGAAATCTCACTGTTAAAGCATTGCTCTTACAGTAATTTTGACTGTAATTTTGTTAGTATACAGATTCTTTACTTGTATACTTGATAATGGAATCATAAATTAATATATTCAGAAATTTGAACATTATGAAGCATTGTAAATATGACAATAAAATGTTTTTCAAAAATGCATTTATTGCTGTTTGAATTTGTTAACTTTCCATGGTGTAGTGGTGGTTTTTTTAACTCTTTCTGCCCTATGGACACTAAGACACTAAGAGTGCCTCTTATTAGCAGGCCCATTATGAGTTCGGCCAGGGCCACAATGGGGCGACCAGGCAGCAAGGGACGGGGCTTGACATATTCGAACGGACCACCCTCAAAAAATTCCTGGGAATTTTTCAACTCATCTGGGTTTGATTCCTGGTCCCCAGAGCAGTAGGCTGCCACCTTGACCATTTGGCCATCTTGCTGTCAAGTGTGTTTGGTAATAACTTATAAGATAGCCATTACATTCACAAGCTAACTTTTTTTGGGTTTTGATTCTTGAAAATTGAGTGCACATTGTTAGAATTGAGAAAATGTAGTATGTTTTATGAAACAATTTATCAGTACAAATATATTGGAGAGATATGTTCCTCTGTCTCTTATGGATTGGTGCCTGTAGAAATATGACAAGATCAATCACACACAATATTCAGTTTCTGAACTTATACATTATATATACAGGTAACCCCC